GGGCCCCTGCCTCTCCCAGGCTTCTCTTCCAAGTGTTGTGCTGTGTTTGCCTCCCCTCCCACCCACCCTAGTGCCCCCCCTCAGTCACACTCTTTTTCTGGTCCTCTCTTGTTTTCCTATTTGCATACCTGTCTCTCTCCCATCCCCCTCCCCACTGTGCCACTCCCCTGTCTCTCCTTTTCCACCTGTCTCTGTCCTGAGCTGCTCTCCAGTCTGTCTCTGGGTCCCTCTTTCTCACTTTCTCTGGGCTGACTGCAGCGCCCTCTCTTCCCGGACAGACCATCTAATTGAAATGGAACACTCCAGAGAATGTTAATAGGAAAGGCAGCATTAATTAGCCCGCTCCAGCATAATTAGCTTCCTCGTCTCACTGCCTGGTGTCTAACTGGATAATGAGTCTCTCTCCATCCAAACACAGGGCAGGCAGGACAAGAGGGACAGGCCATGCTGGGCCATGCCGAAGGCTTCTTGCCTTTCGGCCACTCTGCTGGAGTCCTCAGACTGCCCAGCCCTGTCTTCTCCTGCCAGGCCCTCCTGCTGCTTGTACTCAAGTCTTGGGGAGGCAGATGCCTGGCCCCTGCCCATGCCCAAAGGTTTGACATTGCTGGAGCTGCATATTAAGTGGTCTGAGCCTGACAAACAGCGGCTGCAGCTGCAGCATCCGAGGGGTGGGGAGCTGCTGGTGAGGGCTCTCAAGGAGAGCTATGACAGCACCTAGCCCTGGCACAGCCCCACAGGCAATGGTGGAGCACATCACAGCCCCCAGAGGGAGCGCAGAAATCTGCTTATTTGACACATAGTAACTAAGCTACTACACAGACTGCAGAGTACTTCCACATTTGACCCCACCATTGGGTGAGGAAGGAGTGGCCACCTCCATTTGATAGACGAAGACTAAAGTTCAGAGAGGCTCGTTGTCTTGCCAATACTCACACCACCAGGTCCCTAACCAGAGTCTGTCTGATTCCAGCCATCGTAGTCTTCCCTTTCTACCCTGACGTTTCCTGGTGGTACTTTACAGCTGCTTACTAAAGAAAAGCGGTTGCAGTAGAGTCACAGCTTACATTGGCCTTGGGTTCTAAAGTCAAAGAATGCAGCAAAGATTGGGGAATGATGTGTAGCAAAATTCTCCAATATCCCTTACAGGGGGAAAAACATCTTTTCTATCTGCAACTGGGCTGCAATTCTCTTTTTCTGTGGCCTTGAAAGCCAAGATCTAGCTGGGAAAGGCACTGGCAAAACATACGGTTTTTCTTTCTGTTTCATGCACACGTGGTTGAATTCAGTTGCGTGAAATTCCTGCTTGATTCAATTCCATTGTAGTAGAGGTGTTTGGTTATGAGTGGGCGGGGTTGGCATCCGAGGCTGGGCACTGCTGCCACAGGGCCCCATCCTGTCCCCCTCGTGAGATCGCTGACCCTCTCCCTCTCCTGTAGGCTATGGACTCGGAGGATGACCCCTTGCTGCAGGATGTGTGGCTAGAGGAGGAGCAGGAGGAGGAGGAAGCAATGGGTGAGGCCTTTAGGGGGTCCCAGAAGCCGAGGCCCCGACCTGGGGCAGGGGGGCAGTGTTGCTGGAGGCACTGGACCTTGCCTTCCCGACCCCCCGCTTCCGGCTTCTGGACTACCCTGGGCTGGGCCTTCACCAATCCGTGCTGTGCGGGTCTGGTGCTCTTCCTGGGCTGCAGCATCCCCATGGCGCTGTCGGCCTTCATGTTCCTCTACTACCCGCCGCTGGACATTGACATCTCCTACAATGCCTTTGAGATCCGCAACCACGAGGCCTCCCAGCGTTTTGATGCCCTTGCCTTGGCGCTCAAGTCCCAGTTTGGATCTTGGGGGCGCAACCGGCGCGACTTGGCTGACTTCACCTCCGAGACGCTTCAGCGCCTCATCTCGGAGCAGCTGCAGCAGCTGCATCTC